TTTAAAGGGTTTCTTCTTGAAAGATGCGTCGTCCTTAGCCTTCTATAATATGAACACTGGCAGTGTGGTGCAGCTACAGATCAAAGAAAGAGGTGGAAAGAAGAAGTAATATGCGTTGTTTGGAGGCGCCCGCTATGTATTTTTATGTATTTTTACCGTCTGTAATGGCAATGGAATGCACTGAATTTAATGGAGAATTGTAGTACAGGATCAGATCTCACAATGAAAACTGTTTATTATTTATGTTCGTCGGAATCAAATTATTCGTATATATGTCATTGCAGATCCATTTTATTAGTACTGTGAATGTATTTTTAGAAAAATTGTGCTAATGTTTGGTTTTCCACTTACTCTATCTACTCGCACTGCAGAATAATGTAAGAGGAAGGTTGCATCAGTTTACCTATTTTATGGCATTCTTTAGACCAATATTTCCGATAGTTTGGTTCATTTTTTTCGTTTTTGGGGAGAGTGGGAAAGAAGATTCAATGATCACCCTCACGCAAGATCGTCACCGCGGCAGTTGTTGGTACATACTTGTATTTGTTTTTAACTTCATCAAGCTAAGACTGAGCAGCGACTTTTGTGCTTCGGTAATCTGAGGACAAGTGAGGACTATTTCTGCAGTAGTTTATTATTACCAGGATTTTGCTCATAAAAACGAGGCCTGTTGGGATTTCGCCAGTCAGTCATTTAGGTATTTTGACAATTCAGTTTCAGGGACAGTTTTGTCTACCTTAGGAACTAGTAATTTTGGCTGGTTTTGGCGGGTCCTTGGTTTTAGGAAGTTTCCTTGTCGTGAAACGTTACGTGAGACCATTCAGGAAGTGTAATTGGTTGTTGAGCAACGGCTTGGGACGGCATTACAATCGATCCCTCAAATATGAGGGAGGTGGGTAGACCGGTTTTCTGAAGATTCAGGTCTATGAAATTATTCGTATTTGGGTTTTGTTGCTTGTAGAGCAAGACGGAGTTGTAAAGTAATTTATTCAGTTTATATTTTAAGGTTATGTCATTTTTCACAGATCACAGAAAAACAGTAATATATATTAATTGTTATATTTATTCATATTCGCCAAAAAAAAAAAGTGGATTATACCCGTATATAACATGCCAACAGCAATTTATATATTTGAAATTTCTTTGCAAATGATTATTTTGCTGTTACACCAAGTTCCCGTTTGTTTTCCGCTTGAAATAGTTGGACAGTTGTTTTTTGTATAAACTACATTATTCTTTCTTTTTTATGTGGATATGATGACTCATCTAACCTCGTCGAGTGTGCTTCAAGTATCCCAGCTCTTTTATTGCTTTATACTGGTCAGGTATTTCCATTAATGCGTTCAGCGCGAAAGATGCTTCTTGATTGGGTGTATGAAACATTACCTAAATTGAATTTACTATTTTTTGTGAAGGTTTTAGGAGCGAGAAGCAAGCTTTTACCAGTTATAGGTAAGTGTTGTTGCTTTAAAAATGGCTGAAAATAAACGTTAATGTTTTACTTGACCTTCTTCTGTATGTTTTACCTTATGAAAATCGACGAAGTGGAAATTATCAAACATGCGTTTGGGAAGAGTTTCATCGAACCTAGTCATCATATCCCAGGGACCGTCTCCAACACCGACCCTATAAGATTCTGTGGTCAATTTCTCATTGCAAGTTTGAGGTTTAGACGCTAGGAAGAACAGTTTTCCAAACATGCTGGAAACTTAAACGCTCTTTCGGTCGTGTAAAATCAAGAAAAGAATGTTTTTTTGTGCCACGACTGCGCTTTCTAAGTATTTTGTTGCACTACTTTTTAGCTTACTGTAGATAATCGTTCAAATCATTAAAACTTGTTTATCTTCAGAGTTCCAAAAACTTCTAAATGGAACTTTCTTTTTGTCGCTCTCATGTACGCATTATTTTTAAATGCTAATTCTTGACAGGTTCGTGTTACTGTGATTGAGATTCAACTTGGTTACAACGTTTCCAGTTATATGAACACATAAATTTGGCCAATTAGATTTTTCACAAATAAAGATCATTTTAAAAGGAATTTGAATAATTTGGGCTCAGAAATGTTAATTATTGAAAAAAGTAGTTAAGTAAGTGGTACTACTTTTTTTTTTTTTTGGCAGCCATTGCCATAGGTTTCTGTTACAGCATCTAAAAATTTTCTCGGCACTCAAAGTAGAAGATGAGTCTTATGATGAATGGTTAATTGAATAATGGTATTCTGAGAGTTTTGTTTTGAAGGTTTTGCGGTTATTGCAACTGGAAGGCTTTTGAAGTGTACATACATTATTATGGAAAGTGCGTAATGTGAAGCAGCTGCGATCGCCTTTTGATTGATCTTCTCATTGGTGACTTGCCCATCAGCTACAATCACGAGAATATGGTAGGACTGCTTCTCTTGAACGATTTGAACTGCCTTAACACTTTTTAATTCATATTATTAAATTAGAGGTTAAGCACATAAATCACTGAAATTGCTTCATATCAGAAGGATAATTTCTTTGTTTTTTACAATAATTTTTAATCAATATTTTTGTGATTAGCCTTGACAAAAACTCTTCTGACCTTTTCAATTAAAGGCACAAAGTTTGTTGGACCGGACATGTGAATAAACGGTGTCCTTTCGTTGTATATTTTCAACACTTCTAAACTAGTTAATTATAGTACCAAAAATAAGCAAAGAACCTGCACTCTATGTAAAAGTAACTAAAAATTTGGACGGTTTGGGATTTTAAAAAGCTTCAGGATCAAACAATAAAAAGATGGAAATTTTGAATAATAAAAAAAAATTAGAAAAACATTTTTTTTGACTTAGATCCATTTTGAAAGCAGCTTGAATAGTCTTTAGAGAAACTGAAGAATACTGGTTCAACTTTCGATTTGTGCTGATTTTTGAGCTGTATTTCTTGAGCCGAATATTTTCCTGCTTTTATTATCCGTCTGTCACAAATTTGAATCTCTTTTGTGCCTTGCATGATTGTTCATCTTAAGCTTTTTTTTTTTTTGATTCATCTTTCTCAACCAGTTTGTCTTCACCTCGTTGTAACTATTCTACGTTCAGTTCCAGCTAATTTTTTTACGGTGAATATTCAGAGAGCTGATTGTCTTCAATTTTGGTTGTAACGCTAGATAAAACGAAAAAAGTAGGCACATATTAATTGGATTTGGGGAAGAAAACAGGAGATTGCGGGAGTAGACGTTGGTTGAAAAAAGGTTGAAGAATGTTTTGATGAAGGGAATTAAATAGTAAATTTTCAAAATGTGCTTATGACTTTTTAGAAACTGTAATTACCTACTTGCCTCTGTGCAAATAAAGTTTAAAATTTTCTAAAAAGGCAGATAGTGATTTTATGACAAAATTTGGAAAACTCAGATATTTCCAACCTTCGAAACCATTACATTCGGCATCGGGGTCGTCCCTATCATATATGTTAAATATTGCTTGGTCTGTTGTCTCTTCATCCCCGAAGCCGTATGCTGGAATGACACCATCAGCGTCAAATGAAGACAGCGTCCTACCAACAATTTCAATAACCTAAAGGAATCTTCGGATTAGAAGCAAAAGTCTTTCCTGCTTCAATAAGCTATTCAATTGACCAAACAAGCTAAACAAATTTGTAGTCGTACTAAAGAAAAAATTGGGATTACCGAATATTTCAACGTGTAACCCAACTGACTCTCCATAAAACCTAACCTGTTGATAGGGGTTCATTTCGTCCGAGCTCAAACAGTGAAGGTTACGGCCGTCAAAAGTTTTTTCGCCTTGATAGAAGTTAGATTTTGTGTAATCAATACCAAAAATCAAGTTGGAGTACTCGAGACCGGCCTAAAATTTAGATTTTGTCGTAGGAGAATAACATAAATGAATTTTTTTTTACTTCATTACTGAGTCTTGGGAATCTCTGAAGTAGAACAGCAGCTTCGTATCCGTTCCTACCTAATATACACGTGAATGAAATCACTACTACTTAGAACTACTGCATTTCGTAAACTGTTCACACCAGAGAGTTTTAGCGCTGCTCAACTTAAGTGTTTTTGCACCTTCTCCACTAAAAACCGCTTACTTGAATACCAAAACCTTAAATACCTTTTTGATGCCTTTAATTACGTCTTGCAGTGTTTTGAAATGAGGAATGTTGTGAGGATTTCCGATGTTCATTGCCATCAGAAGACTGTTTCGTCGAATAGGAACACTAAAATTTTTATTTGAAATAACGTTTCAACCAAGTGACTCTAAATTCACGAGATGTGGCAGATGAAAAAATACCGAGCGAAATCAGAAAGAAAGTAATTGCGATAAGCTGTGAGATGTGATAACAGTAGCGGTAATGGATAGAAAATACTAACAAGTTCGGAGCTTCGTTCATCTTTAAAGAGTGTCGTCGTCCTCGTTGTTCTTTCTTCATCGGTTTTTTGATTATAGATGGAGCCTCTCTTCTCTCAACAGTCATACTCATATCCATCGTCATTGTTTTTTCTGTAACTTCAGCGGCAAAGCTTACCCTGAAATAATATTAGTTAAAATTATTAGTTCAATTTGAAGATAATCTTTTTGAATTTACCGTTTTTCTGTCTTTTCCTCCTTTAGTTCATTCATTTCTGCAGTTTGTCGGAATTCGACCTTTACTGGAGCGGCACATACCAGCTGTTCGGATTCACTGATTACCTCAGTCAACTTGCTAAAGGTTTGTTGCTGGTGCCGTGATTCGCGACTTTCCATTGTTTCGTCTTTACGTACAAGTGATTCTTTTGCATAATCTGTTATGAAAAATACAGGGGTTATGGTTCTTGTATCGCGATAAATTGTAAGGTCGGTTTGCAAGTCTATTAATCGTTTTCGGTTTTCCACTTTTGTAATTTCCACATTAGTTATCTGTGAAGCTTTGGTGCCAAGCTGTGGAATTATTTCTGTTCTTTTGTCTACTGCTGTCCAAATGAAAGTAAACTGAGGGGTTTGTTTCTCAAGCTGCACGTCCATATTAAAAATGCTCTCTTCTGTTTGCATTGCACTCAACGTTACAGAGTCACCGCGGGCAGGGATTGAGAGAATTATTTTGGTAGCACAAATACGATTTGTGGATTTTTGCAGAGACCACTGACCATTTTGGTTTTCTACTTTAGAGGAAGCACAGTCTATAGCTGCATGCTCTAGCCTAAAGTCTGAACGAGTGCACTGTTGTTCTGCAAATGCTGATCGCTGATTCAGTGTTATCATGAAGTTTTGTGCCACAGAAGTGGCCGCTTCACAACTAAACTCTTTTCTACCCCCAAATGTCTTTTCAGTCAGTGTCGTTTTGAATTCTTGATGTTGTCGGGTTTTTTGGAGTGAGAAATTACTCGTCTGATCTACTTCTGTCGTCTCTGCGACATTATATTCTAAAGCTTTTTCGCTGTTTGGTATAACGTATATTAACTTTGCATCTATTTTTGACTCAAGATGAGAACTAAAATTGTAATTTATGTACAGTTTGCTTTCTTCGGTCGCAGTACAGAAAACAATTAGTGGTTCAGCAGTTGTGGGTATTTCTTTAGTAAATAATGCCTCGCCTACTCGATCAGATTTGGTACAGTGTTGTTCGCCGAAGACAGTTGTTTCGGCAGCATATTTTGTAAGTAAATGAGCATTACCTCCATATCGTCCCTCTCTGAAGATTTTTTCTACTCCTAAACAGTCTTGAATTTCCTTTCTAAACTGGGTGTTGTTGTTGAATTCCACTGACTGTGATTCGAAGCTTCTTAGGTCCTGTTTTTCTCCCAGTCGTGGAGTCAGTAATGAAATATGTTTGTGCGCAATGTTTGAACTTTTTTGTAGAGAAAATGTAGTCGCAGTGCATTCTGAAGTTGTTCCATAAGCAAAAAGTTCTACTGGTTCACCTTTATTAACTGTCCGAAGAACCACCTCTGACCGATATAACTGCTGATTTTCATTTTCAAATAGCATTAAATGTTGAGTCGTTTTTTCGCTCGATGCATTTGTATACAGTGACGTCGTGCCTCCGTAGTTGCTCTGATTCAAAATTTTGTTTATCGTAGCACCAGATGATCTTTGATAATAATGTGCATTTGTGGTCTCTTCTTCCAGCAAAACTTCGGTTATTTTTTCTCCAATGAATTTCTCTTGTCGTGAAGTTTTAACTTCTGTCTCTGCGTAACCAAACATCTCTAATCGACTCAGATTAATCCTTTCTAGTGTCGCTTCCTCACGGGCATATTCTTTATGTAACAGCATGCTGCCACCTATATTAGGAATATGAAATATTAATGTTCCTTGGCCAGCCTCAATTCGAATGGCAGCTAAAGTGAGAATGCAATTAATCTCTTCGTCGCTTGCAAATCTGGTTGACATCGTCAGCGAACCACCGAACCGTTTTACATTCACACTAAAAGTATCGTAGAAATTATCAGCAGTTTTGTAAAACTGTATATTTGTAGATTTGTCAACTGTGGTGCTTTCTATGAAGTTTGTCTGAATCTCCGCTTTTCTGATGTCTTTTCGAACAAGAGATGTGGAGGCAATGGCATTTGCACGTTGCATCAAATGCCTTAGCACCAACTCTTCTAGTACCGATGCTTTAGTGACAAAAACGAATGGTTCTGACTGGTTGCTGTGCTTAATAACCAAGGAACTGTTAGCATAACGATTTTGAGTAGGAATTAAACTGTAAGAGCAAACTGCCTGAGTATCTTTTGTGGCTTCAGAGTGCAGGAGAATGCTGCCTCCATAAAAAGGTATATTGACAGTGTACTGCATGGTCATTTCCTGTCCTGCTTTCCTGTACTGACAAGTAATTATTTCTTCGGTTTCTTTGCTTTCACAGATGTTCCAAACTGTATTCTGACCTTTGTTACCTGTACGGTGGATAATGAAAATTTCTTGTTCGTCAAGGTTTCGGTGAAGCAAGATGTCTGATATTGTTTTTATCTCTGTAGACTGATTAGTTGACATGGTAATGGATGGTCCAAAATTTGGAGAGTCAAACGACCGGATTACAGCTAACATTTTCGGATAGATTTTTTCTAATCGATAATCTCCGTAGACTTCTTCCAGAGTACTTGCAGATAAGTTTGCAAGCAGAGGGCCTGCAATTCTGGGCGTAGCGAACAGTTCTTCTGCAACCTCTGAACTTGGTTCTTCCGTAAAGTAAAAAAAGATATTAATTTCTGCAATTTCACTTTCCTTTGCGTCGTATCGGACAACTGTGATGTTCTTTTCTTTTGCCGTTGTTAATGCTCCATAGACATCAGCTTGATGCATCAAATTGAGCTGTACATTTATGTTGCTGGTACATGAGGCTTTTGTTATAAGTTGCAGTGGTACTTCGATATTTGATGAAGCGACTGTTTTCTCACAACTACATATCAGTTGTTTTTGTGGTTGCATATGGTATACGACGTTAACATAGTTTTCTTCACTTTCGTCTAGTTCAACTACGAATTTACCCCCGTAGTTGGGGAGTGCAAAAATAGAACTTGCAACAGCACTTGATACCTTTTTCGAAAAATTTAAATATGTAGTTCCTTGTACCTGTTTGGTTTCAATAACGTCAACTTCAACATTTTCACCCTTATTGGCACTCTTAGAGGTGAAAGCAACTTTTTGAGTGTGTTCTTCTCGTAGGAGCTCAGTACTTGTACTACATTCAGCTAACTGTGATGCTTGAGTATTCAGTAGGCGGCCTTCGATTACGTTTGCAGAGGTAAGGCATTTATTTGCAACAGCAAAGCTTTCGTCTGCTCTAAATAAGCAGTCCACGTTAAAAACTATTTCTTCAGCATAATCTGTCTCCAATGTGAAGTGTCCTCCATAATTGGCCTCCTTTAGTATTCCAATGTAGGATTCACCATAAGTGTATTTTGTATACTGAGCATTTGTAATGATGGTACTGCTGGTGGTTTCGCGCATAGAAACCAAAATGGGTTCTGTACGTCTGGGCGCATTTTTAGTCAGGAACGCTCCAAATCGTTTTTCAGTTAGAGCTAGGACCTTATCGAGGTAGATCGTTTGCGTAGTACTTGCCGCAATGTTTACTGATATAGCTGCTTGCTGTTTCTGAACCATCCGTTGCCTTCCTGCTTCCGCTTCGCTTCTCTTTAACAAACTTATGCTCATTGTCTTGAAAACTTCCTCAGCTGCTGCAGTATTCAACTGATACTGACCACCATTTCGAATCTCTTTGCTTATTGCTTCAGTTAATAAGGTTTGTTCTTCGTGACTGAAATAAAATCCAGCGGTAACATTCGTTTCTTGACTTTCTTCGAAGCGTAGGACAATATTTGTTCCCCGGTTGGAAACTTTTACTGTTTGTTGTATCTCTTCCCTCAATGTCGGTACCTCCCAGTCAGCCTCAGTGGTTGTAGCTTCTTCTACCACTTGTTTTGTTGTTAACCTAAGAGGTTCGTGATTTCTGGCTATGGTTACTGTACTTGAGGCAGCCATGAAACTTGTAGCAAGCGTATTGACATTTGCAAGCAGCCAGGCCTCCTCCTCTTCGAATTCAGCTAAGTGAATGCTAAGGCTTGGTTCCATCCTAACATCTGGCCATATATAAGCAGCAGTGGCAGTTCCGCCTGTCCCTCCATGTAAATCAATCAGTAAGTTACTTCTTTCGTTACCTGCTTGTTCGCATTCAAAAAGAAGCGGAGTTGCTATGTTGCTGGTGGTGAAAGTGATCTGAGTTTTGTTGTAATCTGTTTGTCGATAGAGATCCTCTTCGGTATAAACTGCAACTAATTCTGACGCTTCGCATCTTAACCGAAGAGGTGTTGCTGAAACAGACAGACGATCATTCCAGGACCTGTTTACGTGTTGGTTATAATTATTGATTGGCAACCTTTGTATGTTCACCGTTATATTAATTTTATTCAAAACGGATTCGCCTAGATTTCTGCAAACCGAAATTCCACGTTTAGTTTTTAAATACTTAATTGTTCTTTCCGATTTAGGAAATTTCTCCATGCGAATGTTCAGGAAATCATTTTCGATTCCCAGTCTGAGCATGCAAGCTTCTCGCACTTCCACCTTGACGGTGCACTCCGCTTCTTCAAACTGTTCTTCGGTTCCCATATTTTGAAATAATGCTACGTGCTCTTCAGAGCTCTCAGTAACTGATATCATGTGCTTCCCAAAACAGACATCATACAGCTTCTTTTCCACCAATAAATCTGTTTCGACTGATCTCCAGTCTGCCAAAAGTTCATAAGCTTTATCTTCGCTTTCCTTTAGACTTCGAATGACTCTATGTTTTGCAGACTGCTGAAAGACGTCTTGTACGTCTTCATTTAGTTCAGAACTTTTCTGCAGTTCAACATTTTTTTTCATTTCTGCTGTTGTTGCCTGAGCGGTATTCAAGCTAATATTTTCCTTTAATTTCAGAGGTTTAATTTCATGTACATTGTGTTCTGGATATTCCACAGAAAGTTCGGCATCGTAAAATAAGACAGCGGTTTTTGCAAAAAGGGTTTCAAAGCTTTGTGCCAGTGTTGTACTTAAATTTACAACGTGGACTGCTTCTTCATTGGTTTTTTTGGCTCTTTGTTTTAGAAACACAAGATCGGATTCTCTCTGAATAGTAGCAGCTTCGATGAACTTTCCTTCTGTTGTTGCTAACTGTTTTTCAATGAGTACTCTGCCGGTTCCTGTTCCGGTCATTGCCTTTCCTGCTAAAGCGTGAACTTCTCCTTCTGCTATTTCGAACTGCCTTTGATCCTGAGATTTTACACTTTCTCGTAGAGTCGTTGTTGATTCATTTCGTCCGCTGAATTTTTCAATAACTTCATGATAGGTACCATGAACTTCTTTTGCCTCTACAGTTTCTAGCCTTGCACATTCCGTTAATGCTCTGCTGTGTGCTACTTCAGTATCAAGCTGGTTTAATACTGAAACCCAAAAAACGTCCCAGGCGTTCATGCGTTCAGGTTCTCTTAAATAACGAGGTTCTGCTCTGTCATGGTTCCAACCAACGCAGACAACATTAGCGTTAGTTTCTTGTTCATTCTTTTTTAGCGGCACTGAATAATACATATCTACCTTCTTGCTGGCATGAGTATTATACTTTATTGTTTCCTTTACTTTTATAAGAGACGTGTATTCAACATCGACAAGTTCAGTTTTACGAGCCAAATCGAAGGTATTCTCACGCCGAAGACTTTTTGCTGCCTCGCAGAGGAAGTTTTCCTTCCAAGACCTAGGTGTCTTCATCACCAGTGAGGCCTTTTCTGTTGGCGTTCTTAAATGTATTCGATCAAAGTGTAGATTACATTCCTTGCTTTGCACTTCTTTTATTTTAGCCATTACTTTTTCACAATAACTATCAGTTGCTATGCCACTCATTGATGCAGTCTTTTCTGGAAGTTTGAATTCTGCATGGTACTGCGTTGTCGTTATTATGAAACATAGAGTTTCCCTTCTCGCTATACCCCTAGTATACTTGCAGTTTTCAGTGTGTAGCAGTTTGCTAAAGGATGTCTCCCATGTTTGTGATCTTTCTTCAGAGGCTGCAGCCGTTAAAGCAGTTCTCTGGATTTTTCCCACAGGGATTGTAACAGACGTGTCTAGTTCTTTCTGTAATGTCCATGTTTCTCTATCTGTTCGCTTACACCACTTCTGCTCAAGTTCAGAACGCCAGTCCTTTTCGGCAACGAATATTTCAACAAACGCATGCTGCTCAATTTCCTCAACGACTACTTTTTTTTCTTCTTTCACCTCCGTATACAAAACTGCACGTTCAGCGTAGGAATCTTTCAGGGTAATCTCATTTGAAAGTTCAGTTATACGATCTTTTTCCAAATTCAGATTGCCTTTAACCACGCTGGAAGTACCCGTTAAAGTCGACCCTTCAATCTGTTTAGCAGTTTGCTTTTCTTGGAAGTAAGCATCGACAAAACGTCGTCTAGCAGTCACAGCTCCGATTTCGTCAGACGTTGACTCAAAAGCATTATAAACATTCCTTGAAACCGCATCTTGAACTGACTCAGATATTTGTTGGTGTGCTGATAAATCATATTCAGAGCTTTTGCGAGTCTCATAAACAGTATCCTTATCTTTCCTATGCTCATCATCAAGTCTCGTTTGGACGGCTATTTTTTGAACTTGCTCTACTTTAGTACTCTCCTGTTCTGCTCGCAGTTCCGCTGTCTTCATCTTTGTATCTTCCTCTGTTTGATATTGTATGGCGCTACCCTGCCCTTCACTAAAATCTTTAGAAGAATACTTGCTATGCTGCTTTTTAACTTCAGAGTCTTCAAATGCTACATGCTGTTGTTCAACTTTAGAAAATCTTACACTTGGCTGAAACTCCCTCACTTCTCCTGTTTCCGAAACTGTTGTTTTCTCAACTTCTGAAAGCGTAGTTCTTTTTGCCTGCTCGTACTCCTCATTCTGATTCCTAATTGATACATCAGCTTTGTAGTCAGATATTAACTTTCTAGAAGTTTCCGCTTGTTCATCAGTAAGATATTCAGACAGTTTGCCATGAAATACCTCCGTCTCAGTGATGTCCTTTTTTTCTAAATCGCTATGTTGTTTAGTTTCTGCAGCTACCTCTTGTTTACGTTCCACAAATCGGATGTCGCCTTCTAGATAAGATTTTTTAATGCGAAAATCTTTTTCAGCAGTATGTTCTTGTGAGTAGCTTGCTTGTTGCGTTACAATTTCAACTTGAAAAGGCTTACTGGATACCGAAGAATGCCTAATTTCCTGATTTTTTTGTGCTTCCTCGTTCAAGTTAAACATTTCTTGCCTACTATACTGCATTTCTTTCGCAACTTCTGTTTTGCTAGAGCATACAGCACCTACATACTCTTGATTTTCATGGGTGACTCTTGTTTTTAAACTCTCCATCTCGGCAAGTGAGGCAAACGAAGGGGTAGTCACTTCTTTCTGCAAGGATACGTTGTCTGCGTTTGTTTCTGTTCTCGTTATCAAGATGTCTTTTTTAGAGGAGTATTCTTCTTGATCAGTGACTTGAATTGGTTTTGTTCGCTGCGCTGTAAATGCTTCACTCTGTTCACTAATGCTACTCTCTGCGTAAAAGAGTGACTGATAGTCCTCAGAGGCTCTCCGGTCTTGGGACAACGTTGTACTACCACTGGATTCATAAAGGTGTTGTTCTTGTCCTGTATAAAACGCATTGTGACTTTTTTTAGTTGATTCGCTCCAGTCGGTCTTTAAAATGGCTGCTGAGGAGGAATCGTCAGTCTGCTGTCTTTCGTTCATCCCGTAAACCTTTCTCCTTTTTTTACAGATGTGAAAAGTAATTTCGGAATAATCTGATTGGCCGTCTAAAGAAGACGAAGTGTCTAATCTTTCATCTGATGGAAAATCAGAAAACGCAAACCTCTCATCTCCTACCCTGTCGAATTCGTACGCAGAATTTTCAGAAAAATAATCTGCTTCGTGAAGATCTTCTTCAAGGGACACGTACTCTGGTGTAACAAGTAAAGTTGTGTCTAAATCCATGCCCGCCAGTAGCATTGCCATTCGAGCTTCTCTCAAGTTTATTTTCTGCTCATTATTATATCTACCTTCTAGTCCAGAAACATTCTGAAACTGTTCAGTTTCCCTTTCGTAGTGCGCTACAGTTTTTTTCATAGATTTCACATTTTCTTCTAAGTGTTTGTCGAATTCGCTTTTCTTAACATCGCTTTGAATTCCCCAGGTAGCCCTAGTGACATTCTCAATTTCTGGCGCTTCCAAATTTTCCGTCAATTCTTCAAAACCTTCTCTACTCGCTTTTCTTCGTCTATCCACTGCAAGAAACAGCTTTCATTGATAAAATTCTTTTTAATTTTTTTTTTTTAAATGCGCTACAAAGATAAAAATTTTTGCATAACAATCTATATTGTGTAATGGATGAATCTAACCTAGCTTCGAAGTTTTTTAATTAGTGCAGAAAGATCAAGCGATAGTTTCATAGTAGAGCAGAGAAAGAGTCAGAAGCCATTTAGTGCGTAATTGTCATTTCCAGAATTTTTGTAACAAGCAGATTCTGATTCTAAGTCGTTAGTTCCATATTCTTTCGTTGCTTCAGACGAGTTATACCGTATAGCGATGATAATGCAGTGCTGAGGAAATGGTAGCACTCAGATTTAAATAGTTCGTTAATATCATTGCAATGTGCTGACTGCAAGTCATCGGTTCAACAGCAGAATTGCAGGAATTGTTCACTGAGGAGCAGAAGCAGATGGTGAATGGGAAACACAAGGCTCACTTCAAATCACTGTTTCTGTTTTGGGCAATTTTAAATAACGTCTCCAGTTTGTGGTTAAATACTATTCATCTTAAATCCCTTGGCATTTGACTTTTTCTACGTTATGTTGCGAAGTTAAGTGAACTTTTGACGTTGTCGAAAAAACGACTTGTGCGGCACCGTGCACAGGTAGAAGTGTTTTGAAATTTACTAAATGCATAACTTTGTTAGTAGTGACTGTATACTGGTCAACATCTTGGTTATATATACAAATTCTATGCGTGCTGGACCTACCTTTCACTGGTTCTGGCCAATCGCTAGCAACATGATCTTGTGCTGCACCAGCCTTGCGCATCATTACGGAAATATATTCGTTTTCGTTTCCAAATTCCGAGACGTTGATCACGTTGTCCTCAATAATATTACTTTTCAATTTGACTGTCGAATTTTTTGCTTCGCCAACTCTGTTTAATGACAGCACTAAATTCTTCTCTTCACTTTCGGACTGAAAAGTCTTCAAGTGAACGGATTCTCTCCTGGTCGTTTGAAGCGGTTGATCAACATTACAGTTTTGCTGTTGTTGGCTAGCAATGGCTAACTCATGCATTACATTGCGTTCTGTCGATTCATACGTTTCTAACTCGTAACCTTTAAACCATCTACTTTGGTTAAGGATCACTTCTGGGACGGTTGCTACTTCGGGTGTCTCATTTTCAATGTAAATTAGACTTGAGGTTTGTTCAACAGCAGCTTCTTGGCACGAAAACATCATCTTGAAGCTGTTTGCAGCTTTTACTGTTAAACCTGCTTCTTCACTAATAAGCGATGAGGAGACAATTGACGTTTTTATAACGACGTCTTCTGTTTCAGCTGCGTCTGTGTGCAATATTGCCGTATGAGTATTACTTTCTTTGCAAACGGTACTGGTATCGGCTATACTTTTATGTTCTTTTTCCAAACGGTAAACTACGATTGCCTCCTGCTCTTCAGATTCTTTTAGTGTTTTTGTTACTTTGTCTCTCAGTAAACCTGATAAATTGTGGTCTGCAGCTTGATGGATTTCGTTTTGAGGGACGTTCTTTTTTACCCCTAACAAGACAGACGCCGTTTCTTCTTCGGCCTGTTTCGTGTTGTACTTTTCCTTCCACTGATTGGCTGCACGTAGTGTGACATATTCCTCCATCTGTATTTCAGCATTACTGGAAATAACAGCAGCAAGTTCAGTTGTACAAATTTGCTCTTGTTGTAGTTTGAACTGGATTGGTTGATACGGTCTTGGAATTAAGACTCTTATTTCATGGTGGCCATGGGACTCCTTCTTTGAAAATTGAATGTTACCAGCTGTAGTTACAGAGGCCAAACTAAGATCAGTTTTTCCTGCTGTCTGTTGAATAAAAATCTGTTCGTCGACATCTTTTGCAAGCCTATTTTGGTCATACTTTGAAAGTGTTTCATCTTCTTCGCTAATTGCGCTCTCAAAACGTTTAAATCGTTGAACAGTAGATGCCCCGGTGTAATTTTGACCTTGTTGTTCCAACATGACGTCGTCAAAAGAATTTGAAGTTTCGTTGACTGTTACAGTTCCAGTCTTCATAATAGGTGTTCCTTCAGCATAATTCTTGGTATCGGATGAAGAAACTTGAGTTTCTATCACAGTAATCTTTTGCTCCTCTTTATCAATTTTTGCTTTTCTAGAATATTGTAGCTGTGAACCATAGTCATTGCTTTCACTGACACCGGAACAGGAAAGTGTCGTTGTTTGTGGAATAGCAATGGTAAAGGTAAAGCGGGAAACGTCTGGCAGGCGCGTTAGCTCAAAATCTGCTTGTTTTTCCTCTTCTGGGAATTCCGTGCTGTCTTCTGTTACAAACTTCCTTATAGTCCTATGTTTTTTGTTGTCAACAAATGTCTTACCCTCTTGAGTTAACCGGCTAACAGTACTAACTGTTAGAGGATACTCTTCATCTGACTCAGAAGATATTTGACGTTTAAACTTACTGTAAATTTCATCTTCAGCTGAGAACTGCCTTCCGTGAATCCTCATCTTTAGTTCTGTTTTTGTAGGCTCTCTGAACCTTTCATTGTTTTTGTCACGGTCAAATATCAACGTGTTTGGTATCAGAACAGCGACATTGACGTTTGACGAGTCATTCTTTCGTTCCAGCTCACACTCGGCAAACAGATGTGCACATCGAGGCACTTTTTTCTGCTCCAATTTGGCTTGATATTTGGCAAGTTGTTGATTTTCCGGTTCTTTTCTTATTTCGATCTTTCTCTCTTCTTTTTTCTTCTCTCGACGTTCTAGCGAATCTTGATAGCTGGTATCGGATCTATACGTCTCAAGCATTAGGGGTTTTTGGTCTGCACTTTCTTCGTAATTATAATTTTTCGTGACGTCTTCTGTACTGCTAAGAGCAACCTGTTCAGAATGTTGCTCAGAAATTTCTGCTCGTTCGCCTATTAAGTAAGTTTTTGATATTCTGGTAATATCCTCTATTACTTCCACCTCAACTCGGGTTCTTACTTTTCTTGTAGCAAATCTTTCGCTTTGGTTTAGTTGGTTAATGTCTTGAAGTAGCTTTTCGCCAAGGGCATAGTAGTATCGAGCTTTATCCTGAAAATAATTGCTTGAGAAGTCAAATTCTTATGACATTCTTCTGTCAACAGTGCTTTATTATCATGGTTTTCTTGCAAAATGGTTCGCTGTCGATAAGTTAAGTAATCAGGAATGAGGCATAAAGTTAGAAGATACCACATCAGGCGGCAATTGTACTTCAGCATTTTGTTCTGCTTTTAGATTTCCGTCCTCGTAAATGCTGACTTTCATATTTGCCCCATCTTTACTTCTTGAAGACAATTTATCTTCTTCCATAACTACAGTCCTGTTTCCCTGCATCGTTTTTACCTGAAGAGCAAGCGATTTAAACCTTATTATGGTTATTACGGGAATCGCTTTTTGATCTCATAGCAGCAAAGTTCTTTCTTTGTCTTAGCCTTTTCATGTTTCGCTTTATTTTTTTTCTGTGAACTTTTTCCTTCCCAGTCTTTAAATTTGTTTGACTTGCTTTCCTTTTCCGGTATTTGATTTTATAAGTTACGCATATGAATCGCACTTAGGTTATGTTGTCAAACAGCATGATGATTGCGCAGTTAGACAGTTGATGAAAGCTCTAGTTTTTACAGATTACATATGCTTCCATTTCAGCCTTTTTTTTTTTGTCTATAATTGTTGCACAGTATTAATGTTAAGGGAGAAAAAGTCTCTTACCTTATAATGTACAGTTTTATCTCGTATTGTCCAACCAGTATCATATCGCTTGTGTTCCTTCGCTAACTTTGCGCCCACTACTTTCTCTATCTGCATTTTGCCTTCAACTGCTGTTTCTATTGTCGGAGGGGGCTTCCTTCAAAAGTTTAATTGCATTTATTTTATTTTCACATCTGTTAAAAGTATTTGTCAACGGTTTACTATAGCTACGACTTCTTCAACAGTTTCAGCATAATTAACTCTGATACATCTGCAATAGAAGACTAATGAAGTTATTTGCTGCTTACATATTTTCTTTGAAAACAGTGTCATCGGTTCTTCGATATCGCTTTCTCTCTAAGATATCAGAATTAATCTGTGGAGAAGGTGACGGATTCGAAATCTGACTATCATCTAATCGTGCTGCATCCCACGTAAACACGTTAGCTATTTTAAACAGTCCTCCGTCCTAAAAACAACAAAAATTATCGAAAAGGAATGAGCAGAACAGAACAGAGCATTCGATAATGGTTAAAACAAAACCGCTTAGAGACAATAAAACTTGATTTTGGTTTTGGAAATGACTTTGATTTTAAACTTGCATTAATTAAACAATTTTTAGTGTTAAATAGCTGTTTTTGAAGAATTTAAAGGCTTTTGGATAACAGTGGCCAGAATTGTTCACTATAGGCTAATTGAATCTTGCCTTGGTCCTAATGATTTTATTAACTGAACTAGTAGAAGCCGATTTTTGTATCCGATCGGCAGGCGGATTTAGTCGTGCGGACGAACTGTAAGAGATCGTTGGATACACTTGAGTTAAATTAAGTAAGTCGGATGTGGCTTGATCTAAAGCGGCGCTCGAAGTCTCAGCTTTTGTAGTCTGTAAATAACGTTATGCGATAAAAGACTAATGAATATTTTAATTAAACTTTTTGATCTCAAATACTGATGACTTTGTACTTTTCGATAAATTGTGTTTTTAGTGGTTGGTGTACGGTTATTCGCTAAAAATTTTATCTAAATAGTTGCTGCTACTGTGTATTAAAACGGCTGTTAAAGTTATAAAGCTATTGGCAGCTGAACATATCAGAAGTTTTATTACAAAAACAGTTCTTCTTCCTCCCTTTTTTTGTAACGAATTTTTCGTAAGATATTTTTTTTTACTACTGTTAACTAGATTAAAAAAAGAATTAATTTCGATTTCTAAAAACGATTGGATATTTGGAAGATAAACGTAAATAACGATGAAAAAGTGTTGCTTGAAAAAAGTGCTGTTGCAGTTTATAATGTTGGTGAATATATACTACTGTTCTTTTTTTTTCTTTAGTTTTGCTGTCTCTGAAGAAGTAAGAAAAGAACAAGCAAAATTTTTAGGAATTATAGTAGTGTACTGTGGAGTTACTAAAGATAATTACATGTGTTGTCGCCTGTTTCTGCATGGAGTTAGATTCAAAAACGCTTCGGCCGCGTTCTGTCGAATCATCATCAAATTTGACCATTTTAGACGATGCAGGCAACGACACTGAAATACTGTTTTTGTAAATTTAACGTTCAAATAACAATATGTAAATGAAAAAAAGAAATTTCAGGAAGTTTACCAGAAAAATAAGCTGCTTGTCGACAACTTTTTTCTTGGAAAGCTGTTAAAAACAATCAGCAAATTTAAAATACTGATTGATTTTTGCAGCTTTATGCAACGTGAAAACACAGAGGTGTAGCACTGAACAGTTGTTTAGGTAATTATTTTTTGATGATTACAATTAACCAAACATTATATATGTCATCAGTATCAAAAAAATACTGTAAATTATTTTCTTTTTTTTTTTTACTCTTAACAGTTCTATTCTGTCTGTTTTTGTGTCACTGTTTTTAAACAAAGCAAAATAAAGCAAAAAAAGAACTGTTAGCATTTATCTGAAATTCAAAAGTTTACCCCTTTTTCACTAATTATTGATATACAGTTGTTTTACTACTAACCACTTTTATGTAAACATCAAAAAAAAATTGGAACAAAGAGATAGAATAAAAATGACTGTAGAAAATTGTAGAAAGAAATCTTATGTTGGTAGCATTTTTCTTCCGCTTATTCTCTTTACTTACTTTCGCGTTTTTCGTTTGCGCCTCGTTTCCGACTTTCAAAAAATCGTTTTGTTGTTTTGTCATTTTTATGTCGAACTTCTGCCGAAGTTTTGGAACTACTTGGTCGAAATAATTTCTGAAAAAAAAAAAGGGTTACATTTATTGGTCTGGTTTATAGGTTTAGATCAAAAGACAGTTATTTTTTGAAGTTGTAGAGACAAATTTATAAAGCAGCACATTTGATACGGTAGACCGTGACGACTAATTAAAGTTGTAACCGGTAACCACAGTTTTCGAAGTGTTTATAAGAACTGATTTATTTGCAAGAAAAAAAAAGCGAAGCATTTGTACAGTTATTCTTGAAATGTTAATGAAGATAAAAGTAATTTGTTTTCTCCTCAAAAATGCTCAATATATGTTAAATTTTGGTTTAAATAATTACCGACTTACTGATTTTGACAGCATTTGAAGAGTTCTTATGGAACATTTAGAAATTACTGAGGTCAAAAAAGATTTAAGAATTTTGATGACTGTTTAAAAAAATAGCGCAAGTAATTCTTTAGTGAAAAAAAAAAATAAAGCTGATGCATTTTTTTTTAATTAACGAATTTTCAGCAGCGTTTAATTGACAAACTTTGGTTATGCAGTGATGTAAGAGATGCTGGAAAACACATCTATCTGAGGGGCTGCAATGATATATGGTCATTCTGGATAAAGATTAACATATTTCAATTGCTGTTGTCTACTTATATTTTATTGAATTAATATGATAATAGGCATTTTTTGAAAAAAATTTCTTTTATTTGTTTTGTTTTGAGACGGTTTAGTTAAATGAATTTAAACCGACATAACTGTTTTTTCTTTGCTTTTGCTAAAAAAACTGATGACACAGAAATTGTTTGGGCAATAAGAGCTTAATGGAAACAGCTGTTAAAACTCATTTGAGTTAAGTTTTGTTGCTCGCTCGTCTGAATAGCAGAAAAGAAAGATAGACAGAAAGAACAACAACAACAACAAAAAAAAAGAGGAATGAAATGGTTTAAGTGGTGCATTACCGTTTGGGCAATGATCGTTAAAACCAAACGAAATGAGTATTTTCAGCTGTGCGTTCCGGAAGTTAAAAATTTTTCGAAACGATGATTAGAGTAAGTGTTAAATCAAAAAAAAAAAAA